AGGAGGAGGAGGAGGAGGAGGAGGAGGGGGAGGAGGAGGAGGAGGAGGAGGAGGAGGAGGAGAGGAGGAGGAGGAGGAGGAGGAGGAGGAGGGGGAGGGGGAGGAGGAGGAGGAGGAGGGAGGAGGAGGAGGAGGAGGAGGAGGAGGAGGAGGAGAAGGAGAAGGGGGAGCAGGAGCAGGAGCAGGAGCAGGAACAGGATTAGGAAAAGGAGAACGGAGCAGGAGGAGGATGGGGAGGAGGAGAAGGAAGAGGAGGAGGAGAAGGAGGAGGAGGAGGAGGAGGAGACGGAGGAGCTGGAGGAAAAGAAGAAGGCGGAGGAGGAGGAGGAGGAGGAGGAGGAGGAGGAGAAGGAGGAGGAGAAGGAGCAGGAGCAGGAGGAGGCGGAGGAGGAGGAGGAGGAGCAGGAGGAGCAGGAGGAGCAGGAGGAGCAGGAGGAGGAAAGGATGATGGGCGCTGGCTGACGAGCTGTGCCCGCTAGGCACTCCGGCGGGGATGCCCCAGGCGGGCGGCGCTGGAGAAGGATGGGCAGCAGCAGAAGCAGGAGGCGGAGTAGGAAGATGTTCCTTCGGAGTCCGCTGTATCCTTCTTCATGGTACCATTCTCGGACACCAGCCGAGTTCGTTGGAGCGTCTGCAGCCGCACAGGGCGGCGTGGAAGCTTTACACGCTCACACCGAGTGAGATGGAATCGCCCCCCTGCCAGCAGTCTCCTTGCTGGGGCCGCGTGGTGGGCGAAGGTTCGGGGAGCTTTCCAGCAATATGTGGTTTCGAGCCTCCGCTGCCTACTCCGCCTCCTCCGCACTGCGTGCTCGAGAAGCTTCGTAGGAGCTTCCACGGAGCTTCGAAGGAGCTGCGAAAATGCTTCCCCAAAACGTGTTGGGAACGAGTGGGCAAACGCTCTGTGGACACGCTGGAGGGTCAAGCAAGCCGCTGCGAGGCTGCTTGACCGGCGCTGGAAAGAGCAGTCGGGCTCCTCCCAAACCCAGGTAGCGGGTCCGTCCAAAGCGCGTGAAAGTTGATGGGAAGCGCGTACACTGACGCTTGAAATCATCCAGGAGGGGAAAAAAACACACCGACACAGTTAATCGTCGACTCCCAGGGAAATATGGGAAAATATGGGAAGTGGGGGGGAAGACAAACCGAGAAAATATGGGGAACTGTGGGGAATCTGTTTCTTTGTGTCTATTTGTTTGTGTGTCCCAGGGCCTCTTTCAATCATGCCTGGCACGTTGGCAGGCTCGAGAAGGGGAGCCTCGCGGGAGGTCCGAGAGAGCTCCGGAGCAGGCTCGAGGAGGGCAACGCTCTCGGAACCCGCGGCGACCTCGTGCAGCTTGCTGCGACGCTGCTCGACCAGCGCCGGACAGAGTTCCCCTTGGCATCGCTCGGACGTGTGCATTTTTCCTTCGGCGGGGACCATCGAGGAGCATCCTTGATTATTTGGGGGAAAAAAAACGCAGGAAACCGAAACAAACACAGGGAATGGACGTCCGAGCGATGGCCAGTCCCAGGCTGCCCTGCGCTGCCGGTAGCTTCCCATAGATCCCAGAATTTACCAAAACACCGTTCGAAGCAGCAGAGCAGTTGCAGAGTGATACCAGCTTTCCGAACATAGTTCGAGTAGCGGACCGAGCTCAGGTCTCTCGGGACTGCAGAACGAAGCTTGTGGTCATGGCGGCGTTCCTCGCAGACAAGAGCTCTGTAGCTTCCCAGGACCCCGAAATTAATTTGAAACAACGTTCGGAACAGCAGGAAGCTTGAGGACTGAGAATGGTGTTTCTATCGTGGTAGCAAACTGAGCTCAGGTCTCTGAGGCGGCGGAGCAAAGCTATTGAATATACCCGCGTTCACGAACAGGCAGTGCTCTGAGCTCACTTGGAATCTCGAGATTTAGTCACACAAGCATGGTAGAGCAGTGAAGTGGTTACAGGTTGATACTAGTTGTTCGAAGGTAATCCAAAGAAGATCCCGATCTCAGGTCTTTTCAGGCTGCAGATTAAAGCTTCGGAAGCTGCGGATTCATTTCGTGCGATCGAAAGCTCTGTAGCTGCTCTAAGTCTCGAGAGCAAGTTCACCACCGCCCGCGTGCAATGTATGTATGTCTGTCTGTATGTACGTATGTATGCATGCATGCATGCATGTCTGTCTGTCTGTCTGTCTGTCTGTCTGTCTGTCTGTCTGTGTGCACGCATGCATGTATGTATGAATGTGTATATGTATGTATGAATGTCTGTCTGTCTGTCTGTCTGTCTGTCTGTCTGTCTGTCTGTCTGTCTGTCTGTCTGTGTCTGTAATGTAATGTAATGTAATGTAATGTAATGTAATGTAATGTAATGTAATGTAATGTAATGTAATGTATGTATGTATGTATGTATGTATGTAAGTAGATGTATATATACACATATGTATAGATGTATGTATGCATGCGTGCATGCATGCATGCATGTATGTATGTATGTATGTATGCATGCATGCATGCATGCGTGCATGGATGGATGGATGTATTTATGTATGTATGGTCCCAGTGCGAGTTGTTACCCGGGTGCTTTCCCCCTTCAAGACAAGAGGATTGAGTTGAGATCAAGATGGTGGACAGGAATATGAGCCTAGTCGTCCAGCAAGATCATCCCACCCCGAACGAATGACCAATTCTCGAGATATCGATTTTCAACCTACCTCTTTACACCAAAAGGTCTGCCGAGATTTCTTCGGCCAACTAGCCTGCCGGTGTTCCAGAATTGTTCTCGTTTCTGCCGCTACGCTTTAAGAGAAGGTCTACGAGTCATTGGAAGCAAGCAACGCAGGTTACGCGAGCTGCCTTTCCACGGCTCCCCGTGAGGCATCCCCGCAGCAGGCTATTTGAACTCGCAACATGTTCCAGCAAACGTGTTCTTATTCGTTACCAATACATGTGCTGGAAGCCTTCCCGCAGCTCTGGGAGAGCCGTTCGTGGGCTCCCGTGAAGCTCCTATCTCGAGCTTGCAAGCTCCCCAGACGTAGGAGCCACGACATCCTGCTTGCCTCACGTTACCTTTGCTGCTTCCCCTTCACGCGCCAACTCGCATAATGGTTATACTCGAGGACATGCGCTGGCTGGCGCGCAGAGGTCGGCCCAGCTCAGTCCCCCCACGGGTTATGATCGACGTGGGGCGGTGGAGTGCTATTCTGAACGTCCACCCGGGCTCACCGGTGCACTGCCGGGGCGCGATTTGTTTCAGAGGATCCTTGCGCTCGAGGCCCTGGCGTCCGTTCAGCTCAGCTCCTCCTACAGCGAGCTACGATCGACGCGGGACCGCGGATTGCCCCCCCTCTGTGCGTCCACCGAGGATCACCGCTATTCTGCGGTGGTAAGTTTGCTCCCGCCCCGGATGCCGACCCATGGAGGCCCCCAAAAGTCCCCGTGGAGGCATCCAGAAGCCCCCGGATTCCGACCCATGGAGGCTTCTGCATGCCCCCAAAGCCCAACAGTTGATTTAAAGAATATCCGAAAGCCTCCCTCCCCCCAGGACTCCGGATCCGCCGTGCTGTGGGCGACTGCGCAGGCAGGGCTGGAATTCCCGCCCAATTTTCTAGGTTCCTTTGATGATTTCAGCCCTTGTTTGCCGCCGTTGTTCCCGCCGCACTCTTGCGGAATCGTCCGCCATGCTTTTCTGAGGCGGAAAGTTCCGCCCTATTTGTTCGCATCTTGTCGGATGTACTTCCGATGCAATGTTATATGGAAGGCGAACTCAAATACGGCGGGTTCCGAATCACGGTCGGGGGGTGGAGCGGCGCACTCCTTTTCCTGCGGTGTTGCGGGCTTCGAGGTCTCCAGCATGGGCTCCGAGTAGATGGGGTCGGCGGATCGAGCCGCGGCCCACATTCTCCACGCCGACGTCGCCGATGCATCGCCAGTGCATCGGCGAATGCAGTGGCTATGCTTCTGGCGATGCGGCGCGGCATTCCGACCGCGTCTGCTCGGGCCCCACTTGGGCGGCCCTCGAGGCGGCGCGCCGAGTGGCGACCTTTTTGCGAAGGTCAGCCCGCCGGAGGCAACGACGCGCGCGGGGGCCTGGCGGAGCGAAGGCATCGAGCTGGGATTGCGCGCGGCGCTTTCGGGCTCGGTCAAGGGAGGGGCTGCCCGAAGAGGGAATGCTCCCCGTGCAGTCACAGGTGGTCGTTTTGGGATCGTTCCTCCCCCTCTCTTCCTTTCTTCGTATTCTAAATGATTCTCGTATCCTACGTTATTCTCGTTTTGTGCCGACAAAGCGACAATCCTGCCGCGGGCGTTCAAGGTTGAACGCCGCCAGGTACCCAGAATCGGCCGATACGGAACGAGCTGGCCGCCGATCGTTCAAGGTTGAACGATCCACGCGGTGTCAGGAACCAGCGCGGAGGCTGTCACGACACCGATCTGCCGTGGAAAGTGGTTGATGCGGGGCGGGACGAGCGAGGCGGGAGGAGCGGATGCGAGGCGAGCGGAAGCGAGGCGGGTGGAGGAGGGAGGGCGCGATGCTCAGCGCAGTCGCTGAGATTGCCTCGCGCCCAGGTCGGAGGCCCCCGGACCGCTTCGAGCCTGCAGACGTGGGCGCAGCCGGTGGCCTTGCACGCGCACCGCTGGGTTTTTCCTCGGTCTGGGTTTTTCCTCGGTTTGGGTTTTTGCCGCGGCTTGGGTTTTGCCTCGGTTTGGTTTTTTTCCTCGGTTTGGGTTTTTTCCTCGGCTTGGGTTTTTCCTCGGTTCGGGGGGGGGTCTCGAAGCCCCGGGGGACGGAGACGAGGGGAAGGGGGGAAGGGGGAGTCGGGGGTGGACAGAACCCCAACCCTGACACGTCGATTAGTGAACTGTCCGTTTTCGGTTCTCGAGAGGGCGCCGCGGCCGTCATTTTCCAGGCTTGCGCCCGCTAGGTTTGGGCCCGAGGTCGTTTTCACTAAACCACGTTTTACTGAAGGGGGTTATGTCCATCCCCGAGGGAGGCGGGGAGGAGTGGAAGGCCGAAGCCCGGGAGTCCGCCCTGGCACGCCAGGCAGCAGCGTCCTCGTAGTTGCCGACAAGGCCCCCGCATGCGTGCCGCCGCGTCTTCGGTGAACGATCCGCGCTCTCCCTGCCCCGAGCCCTTACCACGTGTGCTTCCTCCAGCTTATTCTCCTTCACGTCTCCTCATGCGCCTTTCTGCCTCGCCGTCCTTCCCCGCCACTGCCTCCGCCTCCGTCGTCGCCTCCTTCTCCGCCGACACGACACCACCTCCGCCGATCCTGCGTCTCCCCTCCCCTCTCCCTCCTCCTTTGCCTCCGTCTTCTCACTGTCCTCCCCTTCCCCTTTCTCTTCACTCTTGGTTATCCAGCATTCTGGGTGGCGACTGTTCGAGGAGTCACGGGAGGCCGTCACGTGTCACATTTCGTGCCTCCAGGTTTGGGAGAGCCTTGATCAGGATTGTGAGAATTGTGAGGATGATAGGGATGATGGGGAGGATGGGGATGAGGATGAGGATACTGATGCTGATGCTGATGCTGATGCTGATGCAGCTGATACTGATGATGGTGATGATGATGATTGTGATGTTGATGGTGATGATGATGCTGCTGTTGATGTTGATGTTGATGTTGATGTTGATGATGATGATGATGATGATGATGATGATGATGATGATGATGATGATGATGATGATGGCGATGGTGATGGTGGTGATGGTGATGGTGACGTGACGGTGACGGTGACGGTGATGGTAATGGTGATGATGATGTTGATGATGATGATGATAATGCTGATGGTGGTCGTGGTGGTGGTGGTGATGATGATCATGATGATGGGAATGCTGATGATGATGAAGATGACGGTGATGACGATGATGATGGTGAGGGTGAGGGTGATGGGGATGGTGATGTTGATTTGAGTAGGATGTTGATGATGATGATGATGATGATGATGACGGTGATGGTGATGGTGATGGTGATGATGATGACGACGATGAAAGTGATGGTGAAGCCAATGGTGATTGTGAGGGTGATGGTGATTTTGGCGAGGAGGAGAATCAGGAGCAGGAGCAGTATGGTCATGATGATGTTGATGATGATGACGATGATGCTGGTGATGCTGATGATGATGATGATGATGGTGATGATGATGATGACGATAGTGATGCTGGAGATGGTGGTAGTGATGGTGATGGTGATGACGATGCTGACGATGACGACAACGACCACGACCACGATGACGATGTCGATGGCCATGACGATGACGTTGACGTCGATTATGCGAACACCAAGAATAATTCCAACACTGATAATGGTGATGATGCTAAGGATGATGATGTTGATGCTGATGATGATGCTCATGATGATGATGCTGCTGATGCTGATGGTGATGATGATGCTGATGATGTTGATGATCATGGTGGTGGTGATGATGTTGTTGTTGATGATGTGGATGTTGATGCGGGTGATGGCGAGGAGGATGCTGAGTATGCTGCTGATGATGATGATGCGGATGATAATTATGATGCTGATACTAATGCTGATGATGCTGGTGGTGATGATGATGATGATGATGATGGCGGTGGTTATGATTATGATGATGAGTATGCTGATGCTGATGATGCTGATGCTGATGATGCTGCTGATGATGATGATGGTGATGACGATGATGATGATGATGATGATGATGATGATGATGATGATGATGATGATGATGATGATGATGATGCTGATGCTGATGCTGCTGCTGCTGATGATGATGATGATGGTGATGATGGTGATGATGATGATGATGCTGATGATGTAGACATTCATTTGGGCCGTCTTGGGGCTGTATGGGGCTTCTGTGAAGCAGTCTTGGGCATCCCTTGGGGCCCTCCTTCGTCGTCTTGGGGCTCTCTTACGCCGGCTTGGGGCTTTCTTGGACCGTCTGGGTGTCCTTTTGGCCGCACGGTGGGTGTCTGGGGGCAGTCGTGGGGCCTTCTTGGCGCCGTCGAAGGCCCTTCCAAGGCAGTCTTGGGTCTCACGGGAAGCCCTCTTCGGCCGTCTTGGAGCCGCCTTGGATGCCGTTTGGGCCATCGTGGAGTCCTCTTGGGCCGTCTTGAGCTGACGGCATCCCGAACAGGCGAGTGCCCAAATCCGTCAACAACCAACGGGAACTCAATGATCTCGGCTTGATCGGATCGTGCTGGAGGTCCTCTTGTGGCCATTTTGGGCCCTCTTGGAGGTATCTTAGGCCGTCTTGAATCAATGTTCGGCCGCCTTGTGGCCACCTTGGGCCGTCTTCGAGGCATATTGGGCCATCTTGGTGTCCTTGGTTGCCTGCACGGGTCGTCTCCGAAGCTCAGGACGCATATCCATCGTTTTTAACAAGGGATCGTGGCTTGGGAGGCCCTGGAGCGCTTGGGAGCAGAGCCTGGGAATGCAGGAAGTGCACGATCCTCGAGCGGGTGCGCGTGGTATGAGGGGTCTAGGAGCTAGCAGCCATGCGGGAAGTGCACAATCCTCGAGCGGCGGGCGCGCATGGAATGAGGGTTCAGGCTTTAGCTGCCATGCGGGAGCACCGTCCTCGAGCGGGTACGTGTGGAAGGGGGGGTTAGGCGTTAGCTGCCACGCGGAGGGTGCAATATCCTAGAGCGGGCACGCGTAGAATGGGTGTTTAGGTATTGGCTGGCATGCTGGAGGTGCACCATCCTCGAGCGGGCACGAGGCAAGTGGCCTCGGAAAGGAGGGACGATACACGCACGAGTCTGCTGGTAGGGAGATTCCTGATTAGAATTCAAAGAAGCCTACCAGACACACCCTGGCATTCTTCCACACTTCAACGTGCCAGGGGGCACGGTGGCGGATGGTTATGTTTCGTATCCTCATTCTTCTCCTCATCCCTCTCCTTCTTGTGTTTGTTCTTCTCCTGCCTCCCCCTGTCTCACTGCTCCCTCCCCGCTCCACTGATCCCGATGCCGCCCACGACGCGCCAGTTTGGCCGTGTCGGCGTCTGGTGGATCGACTTCGCCAAGACCTTGACGCTGCCCGAGGGCGTAGAGGCACCTTATCTTCCTCCGCGTGCGCGGCGAGGGCGCCGGGGCAGCGGCAAGTCAGTCCTCTGCGCTGTTGCTGTCGTCCACCTCATCCTGCCCCTCCCTCCCCACTGGCCCTCCTTGCAGAACTCCTTCTGCGCAAATGATGGCCGGCGTGGACCCCAGACAGCTATTTATTGCACTCTCAGTGTGCAGCGTCCGGGGGTGGGGGGGCAACATAAGTGGTGCATACAACTTACGTTGTACTGTTATCGGTGCGTGGTGCAGTTCTCACTCGAAGTGCAATCGAAGTGAGTGAGACTATCAATAGATGTTGTGACAGTCGTAGCGGTATTACCAGTAATGCTATCAGTCGCATTGGTAGAGTGGTGGTCAGTTGAGGAGTAGCAGTATGGGTAAGAGCAGTATGGGGTACAAGCAACACTATCGCCTACAGGACCACCCTTCCAATGAAAAAGGGTGTTCGGGGATGTGTGCAGCTGTCGGTTTGCGATTGGCGTTGGGTCGCATTCGCAATTGACCTACCTACTGGTTTCGAAATCATTCTATTACAGGTGATGGCGGAGTTAAAGAGTCATCTACGGGTGAAAAACGTGGGGAGTCAGATGGGGGAAAACATGGGTGCGCGAATGAAGCGCACCGTGTTCGTTTACAGTTTAATCTTTGAGTTTGCAATTTTATGTTTGACAGCGTTCGTTCGATCTTGGTCGCGCTGCTTAAGCATTCGTCTGGCTTTTGTACCCCCCTTCGCCTGTCCCCAGTCAACCTTTTCCCCCCCAAGGAGAGGCGGCGGCGGCATGGACGGGGGGCGAAACGGAGCCGCGGGGAGAGGACGCAACCATGTGGATGACGAGGAGGAGCAGCAACCGCAGCAAGATGGGGGAGTGGCTTGAATACGGAGGAGTGCGATGACGATGGCAAGGAGGGTGATGATAATGATGACGAGCAGGATGACCAGGACGAACAGGAGGACGAGGGGGGAGAGGACTAGAGGTGAGGGGGAAGGAGGGGGGAGGAAGAGGGAGGGAGGGGGAAGAGGAGGGAGGGAAGGAGAACAACGTGAAGTGGTGAAGAGGACGATGGAGGGGGATGAGGGGAATAGACCAATGGGGGACGGAGGAGGGAGCCGGGAGTGGGGCAGGGCCAAGCCCGTTGCGGAATGCGAGCGCCAGCTACAAGATTTGGTGAGAAGTCCAGTGCGTCGCTTTCTACGGGGAACCAGAGGAGACGGAGAAGGAGGAGGAGGAGGAGGAGGAAGAGGATGAGGAGGAGGAGGAGGCAGAGGAGGAGGCGGAGAAGGCAACGCTTTTTGGTGTCGCTCGTATGCGTGAACACGGCCGTGTTCACGGCCAGTCCGCCGTGACCAGGGTCGTGTTCATGGCGATTCCCTCGCGAACCATCTATCGAAGTTTTTGGGCGTCGCCCGCATGCGTGAACGTTTACGGCGAGCCTGCTGTGAAGACGGCCGTGTTCACGGTGATTTTCTTGAGCAACCAATGGAACATCAGTGCTTTTTGGCGTCGACCGTATGAGTGAACACGGCCGTGTTCACGGCCAATCCACCGTGAACACGGCCGCGTTCACGGCCAGCTCGCCGTACGCGGCGTGTTCACGGTGATTCTTTCGAACATCAAATTTATTCCCTACCTAGGCTCTGCCTAGAAGGGTTCTTACTCTGTTGGCTTAAAAGGGGCCGGGCAGTGTAAACCGCCCTGGGCGGTTCCCCCAGTCCCTTGGGAGCCAAGCAAAAGCAACAGCAAAGGTAAAAGCAAACGCGCGGTTCCCCCAGTTGCGCTCCTTGGGTGCCAAGCAAAAGCAACAGCAAGGGCAAAAGTGAAGGCAAAAGCGACGGCAAAGCAAAAGCATAGCATATAATATCATAGCATCGCATAGCATAGCGCAGCATAGCATAGCGCAGCATAGCATAGCCTAGCCCATCATAGCATTGCATAGCATTGCGCAGCATAGCATAGCAGAGCAGAGCAGAGCAGAGCATAGCATAGCATAGCATAGCGCAGCACAGCATCCACTATTGCTGCTGCTATATATATATGTACTTATATGTGTGTGCGCACGTATGTTCCATGCATGTTGTCCGTCTGCTTTGCTTTCCTAGAGGCTCCAACTCCTAGGTAGGGTCGCACTGGGATGATATCAATGTTCTTGGGCGTCGCCCGCATGCGTGAACACGGCCAACCCATCGTGAATGTTGCCGTGCCCAAGGCCAACTCAACCGTGAACGCGGCCGTGTTCACGACCAGCCCGCCGTGAATACGGCCGTGTTCACGGTGATTCCCATGAAACAGAAATGAACATCAATGTTTGTGGGCGTCGCTTGCATGCGTGGACACGGCCGTGTTCACGGCCAGCCCCCCGTGAACCCGGCCGTGTTCACGACCAACACACCGTGAACACGGCCGTGTTCATGGCCAGCCCGCCGTGAACGCGGCCGTCTGCACGGTGATTTCCATGAAAAGCCAATGGCAAAACAGTCTTCTTGGGCGTCGCCCGCATGCGTGAACACGGCCGTGTTCACGGCCAGCCCGCCGTGAACACGTGGGCGACGTGAGCGTGCTTCCACCGCGTACGCGCACGTGCAACCTGCACAATGCGTATGCAACGTATGCGTAGATGTACACGCACGCACGCACGCACTGTTCAGATGACAGGCAGAGCTACATGCAGCGTGCAATCACATGCCACAAGCTAATGCCAGCACTGCCACTTACAACATACCCAAACGTGCAACGCCTCATCGCTGGACATATTCTCAGCTCGGGCACCAACAGCATGGATGAGGAGGAGGCGGAGGACGAAGCTGAGTTGGGCGGGGGGACACATAGATGATGAGGATGAGGAAGACGAAATAGGAGAAGCGGGAGGTCGAAGAGGATGGGGAAAGGAGGAGGAGAAGGAGGAGGAGGAGAATAATTGAGTGGGGGGAGACAGAGGATGAAGGACTGCGCGGTGTGGCGGGAGGGAGGGATAGGACATGGAGCACCATTGCAGCGTGCTTGAAGGAGGGACTTCCGCTGCAATTCCATTGAAGGTCACGCACCGGCAACAATGGGAACTGGGAAACCACGAGGCTCCTCGGTTCTTCTTTGCTCTTTGTTGTGTGTGTGTGTTTCGCTGCCGCGGCGCCATCCCCTCTGGCTCCCCCCCTCATTTCCCTCGTTCTGCTCCCCATCTTCCTCCTCTTCCTCCCTCCCCTTCTATCTTCCTGCATACGAGTGTCCTACGCCTGCCCAGCCGACATCGCCTCGTCTGTGTCTCCCTAAGCAGCTTGTTCGTTAGTGTTATATCTGATGATTCAATCGCTTCGCTCATTCCGCCGGCCCATTTTTGGGCACTGCTGCGTCGACTGGCCGAGTGGTCGTTGGCGGTGTTGAGCTGTAGGGGCGTCGGCTGTCTTCTGAAGCGTTGCGTGGGGCATGCTGCTGGTGTTCCATCTGATTATTCAGGGTCTGCAGTCGCGAGTGCGCTGTCGGATCCAGCATCGGTGGGGCGCCGTGGCTAACCGTGGCTTCCTGTTGCTTCCCATGGCACCCATTCGCACTTGTCATTCGCATTCGCAGCCGTATCCGTATTAGTTTTAACATTTGTGTTCGTAGTCGCATTCGTTTTCGCACTCGTGGTTGTGCTCGGTTCCGCTCTAACGTGCAGTGTTCCCGGTCATAGTAATAGAAGTGCGAGTCGTAGAAATAGGAGTCATGCTACGATTCGTATCGGTATCTGCACAGTCCTGATAACGAAGACGCCTATGGAGAGTCACCGCCGACCCCTGCCTTTGTGGAAGCGCAGCTCGGCCAAGCTAACGGACTATGTTTTCCTCCAGCAGTGGGGACAACTTTTCGGGAGATGCAGTGGCTTCCAACACGCCCCAAGAGAGCTTGCAGCCGATCCCCGAGAGAGGCCACAGGGGCGAAACTCATTGGTTTCCCTTCGGTTGTTCATTGATTTTCGTGTGGTCGCCTGCTCCGCTGCCCGACGCCCAGAGACGGCCCAGGAGGCGCCAGACGGATGCTTTGTCCAGCGTATGGTCTGCCCAGTTCGGGTCGACGCGTCGCCAGTGCCAGCTTGTGGCATCAAAAAATGCCGCGGATAGTGAGGGTGCGAGCGGAAGGGGGCAACCGTATCCACCGCCAGAGCGTGCATGTCCATAGCTCTGAGGGTAATATCCCTGGGACTTCGTTGGTTTTTCTTGTGGGCCGTGGGTATCTGCCCGCCCCTGTGGGCGGGCGGACGCCCAGGCCCACCGCTCCCCAAGGACCCCCCTCAGCGGGACACCCCGCCGTGGTGGACACGGATGCCGCCTGGCGGTGCAGGTTGCTCCCGCCTTCGCCGCCCTCCCCCCCCCCTTCCTCTGCCCCTCCCCGCACGCCTCCCCCCCTCCCCGCGCGCCCTCCCACCGGCGCGCCCCCCTTCCTCTGCCACTCTGCCCGCGCGGGGGCCAGGACGGCATCTTCTGGGGCCTGTCCAACCTCGCGAAGGCGTGGGAGCAGGCGGGCCCCCCCGCCCCGCCCCGCCCCCGCCTGGCACGGCCCAGGGAGATTCGGGAGGGGATATCGGGTTCAGGAGGGGGTGGAGGAGGGGGAGGGGGAGGGGGAGGAGGAGGAGGAGGAGGAGGAGGAGGAGGAGGAGGAGGAGGAGGAGGAGGAGGAGAGGAGGAGGAGGAGGAGGAGGGAGGAGGAGGAGGAGGAGGAGGAGAGGAGGAGGAGCAGGAGGAGGAGGAGGAGGAGGAGGAGGAGGAGGAGGGGAGGAGGAGGGAGGGGAGGGAGAGGAGGAGGAGGGGGAGGAGGAGGAAGACGAGGCTGTGAGCTTGATGGTGATGATGACGATGATGACGATGATGACGATGATGATGATGATGATGATGATGATGATGATGATGATGATGATGATGATGATGATGATGATGATGATGCCCATGATGATGCCGATGATGATGATGATGATGATGCCGATGATGATGATAATGTTGATGCTGATGATGATGATGCTTCATGCTGCTGATGATGATGATGATGATGATGATGATGATAACGATGATGCTGCTGCTGCTGATGATGATGATGATGATGATGATAATGGTGGTGGTGATGATGAGGAGGAGGATGATGACGATGATGATGATGATGATGATGATGATGATGAGGAGGAGGAGGAGGAGGAGGAGGAGGCACTACACACCACAAGTGTATGAGGAGCTGCGTTTCGACAACACCATTTCCAGGCTCAATCGCTTGGAAGAAACCCTCGGTCACTACTCGCAACAGCGCCTCATCTCCGATACCCACCCTTGGCTGACGAAGGCTGAACGCGACCACCAGCAGACGCCAGCACCAATCCGCATTATGATCACCGGCTCCAACACAACGACGCCCGACGTCGACGTCAACCCTTCCAGCCCCACCGCAGGGCCGGCGCCGCTCCTGAGGGGCCCGCCTGCCGGCGGACACGCGCGTATCGTCTCGTCTCATCTCGCCCCTTGGGCCTCTGGCGCCTCTTTGGTTTCGGCGCTACTTCGGTTTTCGGTGCTTCTTTGGGTTTTCGGGGCTCGTTTGGTTTTCGGCGCTCCTTTGGTTTTCGTCGCTCCTTTGGTTTTCTGCGCTCCTTTGGTTTTCGACGCCCTTTTTGGTTTTTCTGCGCACCCTTTCTGGTTTTCAGCGCATCGTTGGTGTTCGGCGCCCTCTTGGGTTCCGGCGCCCGTTTGGTTTTCGGCGCTCTTTGGCTTTCGACGCCCCTTTGGTTTTGGGCGCCCTTCGACTTTCGGCGTGCGTTTGGTTTTTGGAGCCTTTTGGTTTTCGGCGCTCTTTTGGTTATCGACGCGTCTTTGGTTTTGCGGCGCACTTATGGTTTTTCGAGCAGTGTCGGTTTTCGTCGCCCCTTTAGTTTTCGGCGCTTCTTTGGTTTTCGGCGCCCATTTTGCTTTCGGCGCTCCTGCGGTTGTCGGCGCCCTTTTGGTTTTCGGCGCCTTTTTTGTTGTCGGCGCCCTGTCCGTCTTCGGAGCTTCTGCTGTTTTCGGCGCCCCTTTCGTTTTGGGCGCCCTTTTGGTTCTCGGTGCATCATTGGTTTTTGGCGCCCCTAGGATGTTCGGAGCCCCTTTGTTTTCGGCGCCCTCTTGGTTTTCGGCGGCCGTCTTGGTTTTCGGCGCCGTCTTGGTTTTAGGCGCCCCTTTGGTTTTTGGCGTCCTTTTGGTTTTCGGCGCCATCTTTGGTTACCGGCGCATCTTTGTTTTTCGGCGCCCCGGTTTGTGTTCGGCGTTTTGTTGGTTTTCGTCTTCCTTTTGGTTTTCTGCGCACCCGTGGTTTTGGCGCCCCTGTGGTTTTCGGCGCCCTTTCGGTTTTCAGCGCTCCTTTGGCTCTCGGCGCCCTTCTGGTTCGGCGGCCCTTTGGTTTTCGGCGCTGTTTTGGTTTTCGGCGCTGCTCTGGTTTGCCGCGCTCGTTTGGTTTTCGGCGCCCCTTAGGTTTTCGGCGCCCCGCTGGTTTTCGGAGCCATTTTTTGTTTTTGGGCGCCTCTACGTTCGTTACGTGTTCGGCGCCTTTTGGTTTTCGGCGCTCCTTTGCTTTTCGGCGCTCTTCTGGTTATCGGCGTTCCTTTGGTTTTCGGTGCCCTTTTGGTTATCGACGCTTCTTTGGTTTTGCGGCCCCCTAGTGGTTTTCGGCGCAGCGTTAGTTTTCGGCGCTCCCTTGGTTTTCGGCTCCCTTTCGGTTTTCGGCACACCTTTGGTTCTCGGCGCCCTTTCGGTTTTCGGCGTTTCTTCGGTTTTCGATGCGCCTCTGGTTTTCGTACCGTTCCTGTTTTCGGTGGCTCCTTGGTTTTCGGTGCCCTGTTGGTTTTCGGCGCGCCCTTTTGGTCTTCGTCGCTCCTTCCTTTAGCCAAAAGGGGGGGTGAACCCAAAAGGGGGAGGGGGGGGGTCTTCAGGCAGGGGGGTTTCAAAGGGGGGGGTTAGCTAAGCCCCCCCCTCCCTTCTGAAAGAGAGGGGGGGCAGCTTCCGGAACCTGAAAGAGGGGAAGGGGGGGTAGCTTCCAGGGGGCAGAAATCAACATGTTTTTTGGGGGGGAGCTGAGCAACCCCGCCGTTTGGACAGGGAGGGGGAAGGGGAGCTTCCGGAGCCCGAAGAGGAGGGGGGAGGGGTGCTCCCGAGGGGCAGACCAGAAGGTGGGAGGGAGGGGGGGGCTCCCGGCAGGGGAGGTCCTTAAGGGGGAAGGGGGGACGGCAGCCAAGGGGGGACCCCCTCCCTCCCCCTTTTGGGGGTGCACCACGGGCGCGCTCTCTCTCAGAGGGAGGGACGGAGGGAGGGAGGGCATTTGAGAGGAGGGAGGGAGAGAGGAGAGAGGGAAGGGAGGAGGGAGGGAGGGAGGGAGGGAGGGAGGGAGGGAAAGGAGGAGGAAGAATTAGAGAGGAGGGAGGGAGGGAAGGAGGGAGGGAATCAGAGAGGAGAGAGAGTGGTTGGGCTCAACGTGATGCGTGGCCGAGGAGGGCCTCCCTCAGTGGGGGATCGAATGCACGGTCAGGCCCCAGGGCCCGCTTCGCAGCATCCCCGCGCTGACGCGGATGAGCTCTGCCCGGGTGAATTCGAATGGTGGCCTTGATGTCGTTTACTCCAGATTTTGTAATAAAGGGAGGGGGGTCTCATTTCGGGGGGGGTCTCTTCCAGGCTATCTTGGAGGGCCTGGGGGGGTCTGGGGACGATGGTTTGGAGGGTTCTCCCACGGGGGGGGTCTAAAACTTCTCGTCTGGGAGGGTTGAGACCCCCTCCCTTTTATTACGAAATCTGGAGTACGCGTGCAGGGGCGCGAGCGCGCACGTGCGATCGGCCTTCTGCGGCCTCTGCACGCGCGCGCCGGCGTGCACTCTGCACATGCGCACTCGGATGTCTTGGCATTCGAATCCATCTCGGGGGGCTCGCGCTGCCACTGACGGTCTCTGCGTTTGGCGCCCTTCAGGTTGCGGATGCTGGACTCGCAAACTCGCACACACACACACACACACACCTTCCCCTCTCTGAGCCGAATCCTGGGTCACCCTCAAAAAACACCGAAAATCGCGCTCCGCGCATCGCGGCTTGGGTCAGAGATGCGCCCTTCCCCATGGCGACGGCACGAGAGCGCGAAGATATGATCGCGCGCCACGAATCGCGGGCGCGATGCGCGAAGTTAGGTAACGTAGGAATCGTGCCCCCCAGTCAGGGCACTCCAGTGGCTGGCACTGCGAGCTTCAGAACCCGATGATGTGCAGAAGACGAAGGGGAAAGAGGCAGAGAGAGAGAGAGAGAAAGAGAGATGTGGAGGGTGGAGGGTGGAGAGAGAGGGAGGGAAAGGGTGGAGGATGGAGGAGGGAGGGAGGGGAAAGGAGGGAAGGTAGGGGGCTCCAGGCAGAGATGTGGGGCGGAGGGAGGAGGCCGGCAGGGCGAGGGGGAGCGGGAGCAGGACGGAACGATCGACTACACGTAAGGGGTGACCTTTCGCCGGAGTGGCCTTTGGTGCGGGCCCACTGTCGGGGGTGGACAGAACCCCCAACAGTGACACGTCGATTAGTGAATTGTCCGTTTTCGGTTCTCGAGAGGGCGCCGTGGCCTTTATTTTCCAGGCTTGCGCCCGCCACGTTTGGGCCTCAGGCCGTTTTCACTAAACCACGTTTTACTAAAGGGGGGTCTGTCCATCCCCGACACTGGGGTCCCCCGATCGCCGAACGCGGTGGCGGGCAAAGGGATGGCGCGAGAGCCCGAGCGAGAGCCGGACGATGGTGGAGCGAGCAGCGGCGGAGCGTCCCGGCTTGCCTATAGGCCCGCCAGGCAGTGTTCTAAGAGCCTCCTTGTGGTTTGTACGAGTAGTGTTCTGAGAGCATGTTTGGCTGAGTTCGTCGTGTTTTAACGCATCTGGCTTATGTTCTAAGAGCATTGTTCTGTCCTTAGAACAATCTTGGGGTTCTGAGAACATGTCGTGGTAGGCTTACAGGAACGCTGGGACGGTCGGTCCCTGCTCAAGTGGAGGAAGGAAGGCAAGGACGATCGGCTAGGGCCTGGTGCCGAAGGCGAAGTTTCGCCTTTCTCGCGCGCGGCCCTCGCAGCGCGCCGCCGCCATCGCGTGCAGGTGGCAGCTCGAGTGACTCAGGACAGCCGCCCGGGGCGCCTGGGATGTCTGCTGCTCCCTCTCTTCCTTTTTCCTTTCTTTGTCCTGCTCCTTTCCAACAGCATTTCTAAACTGTCCTGCTCCTTTGTCCTGCTCCTTTGTGCTGCTCCTTTCCTCTCTTTGTCCTGTCCTGCTCCTTTCCTCTCTTTGTCATGCTCCTTTCCAACAGCATTTCTAAAGCGAGCGCGGGGCGCCCGAGCAGGATTCAGATTTTTTGCTGCGGAGTGCATGTTTGATGGCTGGTCTGATGGAGGGTCGTGAGGGGCGCAGTGGTCCTGTCAAGGGGCCGGCAGAGTGGGCAAGGGGAGGCACATCGGTGAGGAGCAGTGAGAGGTCCCGCCCCCCGATGGGGAAGATGGGAGTTGGCCGGCTTCTGGGAGTACAGTGCCGTTTTTTATACATGCTCCGCGTGCGGATCATGTATTAAAAGTGCAGGGATCTAGTACTGAAAACAACGATGAGTTCATGTACAACTTTCTGCATAAACTCGTCATGGATTAAACATCCAATATGTTTAAACATCCTATGTATTAAAAACTGCCCTTTAGTGATAGGTCCTGCCCCGATGGGGAAGACGGGAGTTGACCGGCTTCTGGGATTAGTTGGCGTGGAGTTGATTCGCTGGGCCTGGCCAAGCTTGCTCAATCGGCCATGGTGTCCTGCACAAGCTGCAGCGCTCTCTGTCATGTCTGGACAGTTTGGCCCTCGGCCAAGTAAGCGACGCAACAAAAACGGGGTCGGCGGTTGTGCTGACATTGGCGCGTGAGTTCGCGCCTAAGCGCCCTCGTTTCCAATGTAGCGTGCCGCGCCAGCGGCCCGCGTAAACGGCGGCGTGAGGTGGCTATGTCATCTCATCTCGCGTAAGGCCGCTTCCTTTCATCGCTCAAATGCTCCTCCACTCCTCTTGCCCGCCCCCCTCCCTGTCCGCCTTGTCCCCTTGCCCGCCTCTTCCTTCTCCGCCTGGTTCCTTTGCCCGCCCCTTGTCCGTCTTGTCCCCTCGTCCGCCTCGTCAAATGCTTCTCTTTCTGCCCCTTGTCAGCCTCTTACTCCTCCGCTGCCGTGCGCCGCTTTCGGCTTCAAAAAAATGCTGGTCACACAGGGTCTCGGGCTGGTCCCGGGGAGAGCCCCGGGTCCAGGAGACCTGTCCTCCAGGACCTCCCTCGTTCTCAGAGGAGGACAAGGACGAGGAGGAGGAGGAGGAGGAGGAGGAGGGGGAGGAGGAGGAGGAGGAGGAGGGGGAGGAGGAGCAGCAGGAGGAAAAGTATCCATACCGCTACCCTTCCCTCGTGTTCGCCTTTTTGGGCCTTCTAGGAGGCCCTCGTCGGCACCGCTGGATTCGCCTCGAAGTCCTGGTCAGAACGCACCCTAAGAGAGGTCGGGGGAGTACGAAGTGGTATCGGTACCTTTTGATTTCCCCGTCTTCGATTTTCCTATCTCCACCTCCCCCCTCCTCCTTTCAATGTCCCTCCCACGTCCGCCTCCTCCTTCTCCACTGCCTCCTTACAGTCAAGACGCTGAAATAAGGAACACTTTGGGTTCGGAAGGGGCTCGATGTTCCTAAGGTTCCTCCAGTGCTGTTTTTCTTGCCCTCCTGGGCACGGAGGCGCTTGCAGGGCCAAGAAGGAGCTTCGTGCCTTATTTTGCGTTCCTTCTTTCAGCGGCCCGATTGTACCCCCCACAGCTGCGCCCCTCTCCTCCTGCCCATCGCGGTGCTTTTGCCCTGTCCTCTCGCGGTTCGCGGCGTGCGGAGGACGACAGCGACAACGAGGCCCGCAGCGAGGGGGGGCGATGCGCGAGCATGCCGAGGGGCAGGCCGCGTCGTGTCTCGGGGCACGGCCGTGACGAGCGCGGTCGCGGCAGGCGCAGCGCGAGGCGAGTCGCAGAGTTTTGGCAGTCGCCCTCGCAACGAGGCCATGCCCGAGCTGCACCGTGCATTCCCTTCCTCTTGTGCTCTCCGCCTGACGGCCGGTGCGGAGCGGGTTCGTGAGGCCCCCCCAGGGGCGCGAAGGTAGTCGTGCTTCGCGCGTTGCGGCCTGGGCCGTGGAGTTGCCCTTCTCCACAGCGGCCTCGCGAGGGCGCGAAGCTGATCCCGCGACGCGCATAGTAGCGGGTGGGGTGGGGGGGTCGAACGCGGGGGGCCGATGCGGCTTCACTGAGCGAGGCACGTGCCGTCACCATACTGTGCCGGGGAGCCGGCCACGCCAAGGCGGGCAGGTTTGCGACGGATCCGCAAGGTGAGGGGGATAATCCAAAACGACGCGGAGATCGGGACAAAATCGGATCTGGATAACTCGAAATCTCTGAGAATCGGCGGGTTTGGAGGATGTATTGGGCGCCGCGGCCGCTCCAGAGCGTTCCGGAACGCTCTGAGAGCGCTCCGGAACGCTCTGGAGCGGTTTATCCCGATCTTAGCCCTGTTTTATAATCTGCGATGGCCGATCAACAAGGAGGGGGATTGAGGTGAGGGTGGAGGGTGATTAGAAGGTGGAGGGGGGGGATGAATAGACACGGGCGGAGGAGGAAGACCAGTCTGATGAGGCTGAGGACTATTTTCCCTAATTGGATTTTGCCTCAGGCATTCCAATTTGCTGCTTGTGAAAGAAGCCGGCGGGTCGGGTATAAGAAGCGGCATCAGGCGTTCCGTGGATTGTTTCATTGTCCAGTTGCTGTGGGTTTCCAAGGCTTGCTCGGTGTTGCCTGTTTGCCCGGCGTCCCGCAGGGTTGTTCGGGTTTCCCAGTTGCCCGATTACCCAGGTTCCCCAGCAACGCCAAGCATCGCCAATCAATGCCACGCAACGCCAAGCAACGCTACGTAAGCAATGCGAAGCAACGCCAACCAACGCCAAGCAGCGAAACACAATGCGAAGAAATGCCAATCAATGCAAAACAATCCCAAGCAAAGCAATGCCAAGCAACGTCAAATAATGTCAAACACTGCCAAGCAATGCGACAGTGCACAGCAATACCAAGCAATGCAAAGCAATGCAACACAACGCCAAGCAACGCCAAACAATGCCAAACAATGCAATGCAATGCCAGGCAATTCCACGCAGTGCTAAGCAGTTCACCCATGCAATAGGAAGCTTTTCTTCAATTGGGATCGCACCGGGTTCCGTTGCTGGTGGCTTTCTGTTAGTGGGCATTTGGACAACCATCAACAAGTTGAGGACATCACCAAGGCCACGAAGAATGCCGTCCTACCGCACGCTGCGGGCGGCCCCAGGAGAGGCGGCAGCTCCTTTCTGGGTCGGTTTTTATGTTTTGGGTGAGACTCGGGTCTCCAGGGGCAGCTAACCCAGTAACGGAGACTTGGTCGGGCCCGTCCCTCTACAGGAGGAATATTCAAGACTCGTTTAGAAATAGTCTGGGGACTATTTTTTTAGTATTTGTTTACCGTTTGCGAGCATGTTTCGGGTATCTTTTTCGTCGAAACCCCCCTGTAGGGGGACACGCCCGACTTAAACGGAGACAGCAAGCACAGCAGGAACAAAAACATGTGATCTCTCCAGGGTCGCGCGTCTTACCGCGCTGACATGTCGCGTATCGCCATCAGCCTATCTTGAAGTGGTCCGCAAGCGAGTTGCACGAATAGAGAGACGGAACCATTCGACGAAGAAGCGACAGTGGGAGCTTGCTACTCCAGCTAATGCAACAGGATTCGCGTGAGGGCGCTGACGCTGAAAGGCAAGTGCAAGAAGACCCAGCTTCAGTCGCCATCGCGGCAGAACATGAATACCAGGAGAGGAAGCCATGGGGGGTGGATGAGGAAGGCAAACGTGAGCGCCCCCACCTCATCCCATCTCGAGGTCTCTCCCAGGTTTGAGCCGCCCTTGATGCGCTCAGTCTGATAGCGAGTCCCAGTGATTAGACCATGGCTCCTGTTGAGGTTGAGGAAGAGGAGGAAGAAAGGGCAGGGTAATTTGGAGGAGGAGGGGGGAGGAGCGGGTGGAGAAATGATGATGTTGGTGATGATGTTGATGATGTTGTTTCTGATGATGATAATGATGATGACGATGATGATGATGATCTGGTGATGATGATGCTGATGATGATGACGATGATCACGGCGATGACGATGAAGATGATGATGTTGATGATGATCATCATGATAATGCTCATGATGATGGTGATGATGATGACGATGATGACGATGATGACGATGATGATGCTGGTAGTGGTGATGGTGATGGTGGTGGTGGTGGTGACGACGACGACCACGACCACGACGATGATGATGATGATGCTGATGATGATGATGATGATGATGATGATGATGATGATGATGATGATGATGATGATGACGGTGGTGGTGGTGGTGGTGGTGGTGACGACGCTGGTGATGGTGATGGTGACGGTGATGACGGTGATGACGGTGATGCTGATGATGATGTTGATGATGATGATGATGCTGACGACGACGATGATGATGATGCTGATGCTGATGCTGATGAGGAGGAGGAGGAGGAGGACGAGCTGGAGGAGGATGGTGGTGGTGGTGATGTTGATGATGATGATGATGATGATGATGAGGAGGAGGAGGAGGAGGAGGAGGAGGAAGATGAGGAGGAGGAGGAAGAGGAGGAGGAGGTGGAGGAGGGGGTCGAGTCCAGCGCTTGCCTCAATGGCGGCCTTGCTGTCTGAAGGCTTGACTGGATTCGCACCACAACCAGCCTGGCCCGACTGATACCCACACAACAGCAGGACGGGTGTTGGGGCTGCGACTACAGTCGGGGCCCTGAAGAAGGAACCCTTTTGGTTGGGGAGGGGCTCCGCGTTCCTCAAGTGTTTCACAGCTTGCCTCAGGTTTTCCTTATGTTTTCGATCGGACATCGAAGTTTAACTTATGGAACAAAGGGGCCTCGTTCCTTATTTAGGGTTCCTTAGGTCAAGGCCCCGACTGTAGGGGACGGCGGATCGAAGACGCCTACGGCGAGTCACCGCCGCCCCCTGCCCTCTCAGAAGTGCCTAGGTGGCCGAACGTTGAGGCCAGAGTTCTGCCGAGCTATCGGACCATGTGTTCCCCGAATCGGTTTGGAATGCCTTCGGGGAACATAGAACGACGCGAAGATCGGCCGACTGTACAGTGGGAGGACACGATTACAGGGGGGCGGAAGAGGGCGGTGCAGGGGCGAGGGGAAGGGGAGGGTGGCGAGGGAGAGGCGGTGCAGGTGGAGGCGAGGGAGGAGGACCAAGAGAGGGGGAGGGACGGCGGGAGGGAGGAGGGAGGGGGGCCCAGAGAGAGGGAGGAGGATGACGAGGATGACGAGGAGGAGGAGGAGGAGGAGGAGGAGGAGGAGGAGGATGGCATGGCAGAAGCACCCGCGCCCTGGAGTGCGTCAGCCTGAGCAAGCTGCTCGGCAGCTCCTCGAGCCTGAGCAGCATCGCCCTGTCGCGCGACCTCGTCGAGCAGGAGGCGGGGGGAGGGGCCAGAGAAGCAGGTAGTAGTAGTAGTAGTAGTCGTAGTAGTAGTAGTAGTAGTAGTAGTAGTAGTAGTAGTAGTAGTAGTAGTAGTAGTAGTAGTAGTAGTAGTAGTAGTAGTAGTAGTAGTAGTCGTAGTCGTAGTCGTAGTCGTAGTCGTAGTCGTTGTCGTAGTCGTAGTCGTAGTCGTAGTCGTAGTAGTAGTAGTAGGTAGTAGTCGTAGTCGTAGTCGTAGTCGTATCGTAGTCGTAGTTCGTAGTCGTAGTCGTAGTCGTAGTCGTAGTAGTAGTAGTATAGTAGTAGTAGTAGTAGTAGTAGTAGTATAGTAGTAGTAGTAGTAGTCGTAGTCGTAGTCGTAGTCCGTAGTCGTAGTCGTTAGTCGTATTAGAGTCTAGTCGTAGTCGTAGTCGTAGTAGTAGTAGTGTAGGTAAGTAGTAGTAGTAGTAGTAGTAGTAGTAGTCGTAGTATTCGTAGTTCTTAAGTCGTAGTCGTAGTCGTATCGTAGTAGTAGTAGTAAGTAGTAGTAGTACGTAGTGGAGTAGTAGTAATAGTCGTAGCTCGTAAGTCGTATCGTAGTCGTGTCTGGTCGTGGTCGTGGGTCGTGGTCCTGGTCGTGGTCGTTGGTCGTTGGTCGTGGGTGGTGGTGGTGTGGTGGTGGTGGTGTGTGGTGGTGTGTGGTGGTGTTGGTGTGGTAAGTAGTAAGTAGTAGTAGTAGTCAGTTGTAGTAGTGGGTGGTGGTGGTAGTAAGTAGTAGTAGTAAGTAGTAGTAGTAGTAGTAGTATTCAGTAGTATACGTAATAGTACGTAGTAGTAGTAGTAGTAGTAGTAGTAAGTCAGTAGTAGTAGTATTAGTAGTTAGTCGTAGTAGTAAGTAGTAGTATAGTGTAGTAGTATAGTAAGTAGTAAGTAGTAGTAGTAGTAAGTAGTAGGTAGTAGTAAAGTAGTAGTAGTAGTAGTAGTAGTAAGTAGTAGGTAGTAGTAGTGGTAAGTAGTAGTGTAATTAAGTAGTATAGGTAGAGTAGTAAGGAGGAGGAGGAAGGAGGAGGAGGGAGGAGTAGGGGAGAGGAGGGGAGGAGGAGGAGGAGGAGGCGGAGGGGAGCTGGGCCTCCTCCTCCTCCTCCTCCTCGTCGAGCAGGGGCGGGGGCAGGGGCTGGACCAGGGCACTGGGAGGAGGGGCAGAGTGGAGACCCATGCCAAGAGGCACCCTGCTTGCCTCTAGGGTGCCCTGCCTGGGTTTCTCGGGTTTCGATGGTTCTGCCATGGAGAGCGTCGGGGGCGGACAGAACCCGCACCCTGACACGTCGATGAGTGAATTGTCCGTTTTCGGTTCTCGAGAGGGCGCCGCGGCCGCTCTTCTCCCAGGCCTGCGCCCGCCAGGGTTGGGCCCGAGGTCGTTCCTAGAGGGGGGGGGCCTGTCCATCCCCGAGAGCATGACGTTCCCACACCAAAAGTCAGCGGACTTCCTGGGGTCTCAGGGTAGGTTTCCCGTGGCAGGTTTCTTGTGCTCGGGCCCCTACCGTAGGGGCAGAGGCAGGGGTAGAGCAGCAGGAGGAAGCTGCTCTGGGGTCCGCCGCCCAGCCTCGAAGGAACATCAGGCCAGCCACAACTGGGGGAGCTGTGGTCCTTACCCCCCTGGGGGACCCATCGATTTCGACACCCTTCTCGAGAGATCGTCGAGACGATGGGTTCCCCCAGGGGGGTAAGGACCACAGCTCCCCCAGTTGTGGCTGGTCGGAGCATCAGCGTGAGCATCACCTCTCGGAGGTCCGCTCGGACTCCTCGGCTCGGCGCTGGACCCTCCCTGGCGGCGCCTCCGTCGCCGCCCCTGGCGCGCTTCGCGCGCCAGGGTAGGGGGGGCCCGGTGCCGACCCAGGGAGTTTGCGCAGACCGTCGATTGTTCCTGTGTGTTGTGGCCTCTGTCCTGGGGTTCCTGCCCTCTCATACTTCCTACCCATCACCACCCTTTCCTGCTCCTCCAGTCGAGGGGCAAATGGTATTGTCGAGGCCTATTCCCTGCTCTGTCCGCAGCCGCTGAAGCCCGAGCGCGTGCAATCCTTCACCCCAATGTCCGAAACAACAGGGATGCCCAATGGCATGATTCCAAACTCTTCAGATTAGCCCACCGCCCGCCGCGGAGGCGGCCGCAGCGGCTGTCCGTCCGGCGTTCCCCGATAATGTCAAGCAAGGGTTTGCGATGTTTCCCTCGGATGCCGCTCAACGCGGACCACATGCCTGAAGATCTCGATGGCAGAACTTCGGTGAAAAAGCCGCAGGGACCGGATAGCAGGCTGCAAAACGCTCTGGCAGCTGACGAGGTTCGGAAGGCCACTCCGCGATGAGGAGGAGGAGGAGGAGGAGGAGGAGGAGGAGGAGGAGGAGGAGGAGAGGGAGGAGGAGGAGGAGGAGAGTGCTCACACCTCCAGCAGCGCATGACCACCACCTCTGCCCCCGCCTCACGGAGCACGGAGAGGGCCTCCGCCTGCCTTCTCGTTGTTTCTGGTTGTGCGTGGAAGCTGGGCGAGCGGCGACCACTCGAAATCGCGGCCACATCGGCTCTTGGGGCCAGGAGGAGGAGGAGGAGGAGGAGGAGGAGGAGGAGGAGGAGGAGGAGGAGGAGGAGGAGGAGGCGGAGGAGGAGGGGGAGGAGGAGGAGGAGGAGTAGGGAGGAGGAGGAGGAGGAGGAGGAGGAAAAGGAGGAGAAGGAAAAGGAGGAGGAGGAGGAGGAGGAGGAGGAGGAGGAGCTAGAAGGGATGATCTGTCACGAGATCGTCGCCTCTGCGGGGTCCTCTGGCGCTGATCCCCGCGGGGCCACCAGGCCCGGAAGCCTCGGTGGGCCTCCGCTTCTGCAGGCCTCCCGGGAGCTCCAGAGACCTGCGGGGACCTCCGAGGCCTCCAGAGGCCTCCAGGGACCTCCGTTTCTGTAGGCCTCCACGGGGCCTCCACGGGACCTCCGGAGACCCGCGGGGAGCTCCAGGGGACCCCTGGAGACCCCGCACTGCTCACCACCTCCTGGCTTGGACAGAAGGCACCGCGTAGAAAGGAGGGGCAACCTTCCCAAGGGTGCCCTTTACATCCTTGTCTCCTCGGTCCATCCTTCGCCACTTTCGTTGGCCGCGTCCCGCTCGAAGAGCCTCGCGAGGGGCATCCATGGCCCCCGCATCCTTATCGCGCATCCTTAATGCAGTGGAGGCCCATGCCAGGGAACACCCTGCTCGCCTCCAGGGTGTCCTGGGTTTCTTGGGTTTCGATGGTTCTGCGATGGAAAGCGTGAGGTTCCCACACCAAAAATCAATGGACGTCCTGGGGTCGCAGGGTTGGGTTTCTTGTGGATGGTTTCTTGTGGTCGGTCCCCTGCTGTATGCGGGTTGACTGTTCTCCCATCCTGGGCCCAAAGCGGGCCTGGCTCGTCGTAACCTTCGGCCCCGCGGAGCGGGGCCCGCCCAGAGCGGCACAGCCTGGCATCTGACTTGGCTCTCATGCCTTCAGCCTTCAGCCTCCTCCTCCTCCTCCTCCTCCTCCTCTCCTTCCTCCTGCTCCCCCTCCCCCTCCTCCTCCTCCTCCCCCTTTGCTCCGTTGATGCCTGGATCCCCTACACTGAAAGCGCGAACATCCAGAAACAAAAAGGGTGAGTCGGGGTCGACTGCCCAAACACACCACGGATCGCTGCGCACCCACAAGCTCCTGCGGTGAAGAGCCTGAGGGAAAAAACGCAAACGAGTTGGCAGGCAGCAGAGAGCAATACAGCTGGGGGGAACAAGCCTCACTGCCTAAACGGTTTTCGAGCTGCGTCCGCCCCGCAGGGCTCAGATTACGACACCTCCAGTGCCGCCCCGATAAGCCACCCGAGGGGCGCCACTCCCTCGGGCGACCGCACACCCCCACACACGCCAGGGCGGGTGCCCCTGGCCGTGGGAAGGATGGGTGTGGTTCCGCCATGAGCCCCCCGACGGGGACCCCCCACTCGCCCAAGCACCCGCGGCGTACGGGCCGGGCCACCGCAAGGGGTGGGAAACGTGGCGACGAGGGTGCAATGTTCTCTCTCCCTGGCCCCCTACGGGCAAATAGGGGAGACGAACGGACTGCTACCCGCCTGTTTTCCTGGGACGCCCGAGGGCACCCAGTGGCACAGGTGCCCCCTCCTCCTCCCCCTCCTCCTCCTCTTCCTCTTCCTCCTCCTCCTCCTCCTCCTCCTCCTCCTCCTCCTCCTCCTCCTCCTCCTCCTCCTCCTCCTCCATACCACCTCCTGGCCTGGCCAGGATCTGTGTAACCCTCCGAGGAGTGGCGATGGAGGTGACGGTGATGACGACGAGGACGATGGCGACGATGTGGATGATAGCGGCGGTGCTGATGACGAGAGCGATAAGGATGATGGCGACGAGGACGACGAAACGGCAGCAGCGGTGATGATGACGATGATCGTGTTGCTTACGATGATGGTGCCGATGGTGATGTTAACGACGATGAGTATGGTGTTGGTGCTGTTGATGGTGATGATGGGGATGAGGGTGAGGATGATGATGAGGATAAGGATGATGATGCTGCTGCTGCTGCTGCTGCTGATGATGATGATGATGATGATGATGATGATGATGATGATGATGGTGATGATGATGATGATGATGATGATGATAGCGAGGAGGAACATTTGGATGATGATGATGCTGATTATGATGATACTAATGATGATATACTGGATGATGATGGTGGTGGTGATGATGCTTATGATGATGATGATGATGATGATGATGATGATGATGATGATGCTGATGATGATGATGATGATGATGATGGCAATGGGGGTGGTGGTAATGGTGATGATGATGATGATGAGCATGATACTGATAATGATAATGATAGTGATGATGCTGTCTATGATGATTGATGATGGTGATGACGATGATAGTGATGCTGCTGATGATGATGATGATGATGATGATGACGACGACGACGACGACGATATGATGATGATGATGATGATGATGATGATGATGATGATGATGATGATGCTGACGCTGATGCTGATGCTGATGCTGATTATGATGATGATACTGATGATGATGATGATGATGATGATGATGCTGCTGATGATGATGATGATGATTATGACGATGATGATGATGGTGGTGGTGGTGATGATGATGATGGTGATGGTGGTGGTGGTGGTGATGGCGGTGGTGATGATGACGATGCTGATCGTGGTGATGATGGTGATGATGATGATGAGGATGATGATGATGATGATGATGATTCTGATTCTGATTCTGATTCTGATTCTGATTCTGATTCTGATTCTGATGATGAATGTGACTATCTCGATGGTTAATGTGATGATGGTGCTGATCATGGTAGCGGCGGCGACCAGGAGGAGAAGGAGAAACAGGAGCAACAGCCTGAGGTAGCGTTAGGAATCAGAGAGTGAGAGAGAGAGTGAGAGCTGAGGGGGAGAGAGAAAGTCGGAGCGAAGCGAAGGAGAGAAGGCAAGACGGAGAGAGTGAGCGGAGCGGAATGAAATGGGGCGCGCTCAGGCTGTCCAGTCAGCTTGGCCCATCGGAGGGTGGCGTTGGTGGGCCAGAGCCTGGGAGGGATGACCGGGGTGACGGCGATGGAGACGTCGCAGGGCAGGAGAGATCTCGGACCTCCTGCGTCGTGAGTTGTTCGGTCTCGGCGGTGTTCCTCAGTTTCGGTCTCTGGGGGCCGTTTTCCGATTCCTGGATTGCAGCAAAAACCATAAGGTACGAAAGAAGTTGCGAGACAGGGGTCGAGAGTTCCAGGGACAAGATTTGAAAAACACCACGGAGACGTGGGATTGTCGCGTGTGTTGCAGGAGCGACCGTTCTCCACCAGTGTTGATCCCGCGACACACCAGACCAATGAGCATCATCTTCCCTATCCGTCGAAGTGTGTAACAAAAGTCCTGCTCCGTCGTCGTAAGAATGATTTTGCCCTGCGTGTCGTCGTTGTGCCCGACGTGCGTCGTGGACGCTTGAAAGGGGTTTGCGTATGTATATATATACACATACACGCATAGAGAGAGAGAGAGAGAGAGAGAAACAAAAAAAAAAAGGATGGGGGAGAGAGGAACAGAAAGGGAGGGGCATGGAAGGAAGAGGACCGGCACGAGATGGGGGAGGGGGAGGGGAGGGAGAGGGCTTGCTTGCGGCGCTACCTCGCGTATCAGCGCGAGGCGTCGGGCACGCACCGGGCGGTGCTCAAAAGCAGTCGATGGCGACAGCCCCGGTGGCACCGCAGGGGCATGGCGCAGCCGGGGCCGCGGCAGGCGCTTGCGCTGGTGCTGCCGTGAGCGCCGTCGGGAGAGGTGCCGTCGTGGCCATCGCCGGCGCTGTGGGTGCGGGCGGGCCTCCGCGGAGGGGGCGACGGGCCTCCGCAGAGGGGCGCGGGGGCCCGCCCGAGCGGCGGGCGGGCCTCGGTTGCCGGCGGCGGAGACGCACGTTGGGGCCGCGGCGGCGTGGGAGGCCGCAGCCGCGGCGGGCGTGTCGGCGGCGCCGTCGTCGTCGTCGTCGTCGTCGCCGTCGCCGTCGCCGTCGTCGTCGTCGTCGTCGCCGTCGCCGTCGTCGTCGTCGTTCTTCGTCGTCGTCGTCGTCGCCGTCGTCGTCGTCGTTCTTCGTCGTTCTTCGTCGGTCTTCGTCGTTCTTCGTCGTTCTTCGTCGTCGTCGTCGTTCTTCATCGTTCTTCGTCGTCGTCGACGTCATCGTCGTCGTCGTTCTTCGTCGTCGTCGTCGTTCTTCGTCGTCGTCATTGTGTCGTCGTGGTCTTTGTTCTTCGTCGCCGTCGTCGTCGTTCTTCGACGTCGTCGTCGTTCCGTCGTCGTCGTCGTCGTCGTCGTCGTCGTTATTCGTCGTCGTCGTTATTCGTCGTCATCGTCGTCGTCGTTCTGTCGTCGTTGTTTTGTCGTCGTCGCCCCAGACCTCCAGAGTCGGCGAGTCGGCGAGCGGAGGCAGCGCCGCGACGAGCCCCGGCTCTGCGCGGAGCGGGCCCGCCGAAGCGGCGGGGGGGCTCTCCCGGCAGAGGCCCGGGAGAGGGGCGCGGCAGGGGCGCCGTCAGCGTGCGGTCAAGTCGGGCGTGTCCCTTTACAGGAGGAATAGTTTAAAGAATACGCAGAAATAGTTTGGGGACGATTTTTCGACCATTTCTTGAATTTGTTGAGCATGTTTTGATGATACAGGAGGAAGACATACATATATATATATATGTATATATACACATATATATATGTATATATATATATATCTACGTATACACATATATATATATATATATATGCGCAAACAGAGTCTGGGGACGATTTTTGTCGACCATTTCTGGAATTTGTTGGAGCATGTCTTGACCACTTTTCACTCTTCGCCCCAAAATACGCCCGTAGGGAGACATGCCCGACCTCAGCGTGCGGGCAGGCGTGAGTGTGGTGGCCCGAGGTCGCCGAGGGGCTCGCCGATCCCTCGGAAGTCCCCGGGGAGGGGCGGGGCCGGGGGTGACATCCGCAGACGACATCCATCAGAGCCCCGAGTCATCAGGGGTAACTCGGGTCAGGGATAACTCGGGTTCCTTTTTCGGGAATCCAAGCCCGAGTTACCCCGGACCCGAGTTACCCCGGATAACTCGGGCGCCCAAATCCATACACCACCACCGTGCTTGGCGAGGGCCATGCTGGGCCACACGAAGGTGTGCAGACCCTCCTAGCCTCTGCTAGGAGGCGTATACACCATGCGAGGGCCCAGAATGGCTGGCCAGACGCGGTGGTGGTGTACAGATGCTTCCTGCGTGCGACGGTACGTCGTTGTACCAGGCAGACATCAAGTGTGCTGTGCTGCGCTGTGCTGGACTGTGCGACCGACGGCGCAGCGGGACGCCGCCGACGCTCGCAGCCTTTCCTGGACGATCGCAAAGGGTGGCCGTACTGCTCACCCTTGCCCGCTGGAAGCAGGCCATTGTCCTGACCGCGACAGACACTAGAAGCAATGCGGAGGTCAGCCTCGGAGGGATGCCAGGTGGGCGAGAGTTGGCTGCACGGACTGGCGAGTGCGAGGATCTCTCACCCTCCTGCCGCACTCGCACCGCCCTCAGGCGGACAACGTGTGACTTTGTGCTTCGTGGCCAAGCGCGGGCTCCTGAGGAGGCGGACTTGGCGGCCGTTGTGGGCGAGCCACAGGTGCTAAGGGGGGCTCTGCGTGGCCGCGTGCGTGCAAGTCGTGGGAGGCTCGGCTGCTGCGCTGCCCGCTTGATGTGGAGGCGGCGCGTGGACGAGGTCGGGGAGGAGGAGGCTGGGCCACGGGCACCATGCGGCGCAAGAAGCTCGCGCTCATAATGCAGGACCAGCGTCCAGAACAAGGGCACCGTGGCAGTGGCGTGCACTCGGTCGTGGGCGGGCCTGCGGTAGAGATCGGTCGCGTGCAGGGGCACCTGGCAGACGAGGAACCGGACAGCGACTGGCAGGTCGAACCTCTGCTTCTTCAGCTCGCTGCAGTCCTGCTTGAACCAGGGCAGGGGCTGCGCTTGCGGCCACGCCATGTCCCGTCGCCGCGGCACTGCGGGCAGGAGATCGGGGGTACCGCTCACCGTTCCTGGAACTGCTCGGGCCAGCGACTGGGGAAGGGCGAGAGAGAGAGGGAGACAGATTGGGGAAGAGAGAGGGGAGAGGGATCGAGAGAGAGAGGGATAGAGGAAGAAGGTGGTACATGTGTGTGTGTGCGTAAACACGTGTATATAAAAACACGTATACATGTAGAGATAGATAGCGAAAGATAGTTAGAGAGAGAGAGAGAGAGACAAACACACAAAAAGGAAATAAAGACATATAGAGAGAGAGAGAGAGAGAAGGAGAAAACAAACGGAGAAAGAGAGAGAGAGAGGGAGACGGAGACCAAGATAGAGAGAGACGGAGACGGAGGCAGAAGTTACAAACAGTGACAGAGACAGATTGAGAGGTGAGGAGGGGAGAGAGCGAGATGGAAAGAGAGGGCGAGAGAGAGACGGAGACAGTGAGCAGAGAGACGGAGAGAGAGAGAGAGAGAGAGCGAGGGCGAGGGCGATGACACCCTTCGCTCCGTGGTATGCCTCGCCACGGATCAGGACTCGGTGTCTCCCCCCCCCCCCTCCGCGCCCGCGCTGCCCGACAGGCACTCAAGCCGAAACGGCGCCGGAGCGTCGATGCAGGCGCGTTCAGAGACCTCGAGGCCAGCAGTCCCTCCTCCGTTGCGCCCCCCGCCCCCGTCCCCCCTGCGCCGCTGCCCTCGCCGACGCCCGTGCCGCCTTGCCCCCTTCCCCCCTCCCTCCTTCCTCGTCATCCTCCTCTTCATCACCCGCATCAGCATCAGCAGCAGCATCATTATCATCATAATCATCATCATCATCATCATCATCATCATCATCATCATCATCATCATCATCATCATCATCATCATCATCATCACCATCATCGTCGTCGTCGTCGTCGTCGTCATCGTCGTCGTCGTCGTCGTCGTCGTCCTCGTCGTCATAGTCGTCGTCAGTATCATCATCGTCGTCATCATCACCGCCATCGTCACCATCGTCGTCATCATCAGCATCATCGTCGGCATCATCATCGTCGTCATCATCTTCATCATCACCACCTTCATCCTTCTTATCATGTTTGTCATCGTCATCGTCATCGTCATCATAATCTTCATCATCCTTCCCCCCTCCTCTCCTCTGCTTCACCTTTCTACCTGTCCCCCCTCCCCCACCTCGCTCACCCGCCTCGCTCTTCCATTGTGGCAGATCATGAATACTACTCTCCTCTCTCTCTCTCTCTCTTGATTCCGTCCAGAAGATGGCCTGTTGTCTCCGCGTACTGTTCACTACACAGGAGTTCAAGTGTTGTTGTTTCTCGAATGCTTGTTACTATATTGCCTTTGTTAACATAGTGAATTTAAATATGTCTACACGTGTGTATATATATATATATACGTATATGGCGAATCACCGCCGCCCTCTGCCTTTAGCAAACGCCTATGTGGCTAAATGGTTGAACGAAGTTTGGCATCACTATTGGACCATTCGTTCTCACAGCCGTTGTGGAAGCCCATAGGGGAACGCGGAGGGAGGAAGATGAGGATGAGGAGATTGATGACGAGATCTCTTGGAAGCTTCTCGGGTCATTCTTGGGGCCTCCTGGGAGCTTCCAGGGATCTCTTGGAGGCATCTAGGGGGCCTCCTTGGGCCTCTTGGGGGCCTTTGGGTGCTTCTTGGGGGCTTCTTTGGCCGTCTGACGGCGTTCCTGGCCTGTCTGATGCTGTCGGAAGCTGTTTTTGGAGCCTCTGTGGGCCGTCTTGGGGCCCTTTTAAGGCGCTAAGGCGCTTCAGGGCCATCTTGAAGAGCATCTTGGGCGCCTTGGAGGCCTCTTTGGCCGTCTTGGGGCCCTTTCTGGCCCCTCCTGGGACCTTCTTGGGCCGTCCTGGGGCCATCGTGGAGGCCTCTTGGGCGATCTTGGGGCAATCTTGGGGCCTGCTGGGCCGTCTTGGGCCGACGGGAGGCCATTTTGAAGTAAATGTCCAAATCCTTTGGGCACCCAAGGAAAATCAATCATTTTGGCCTTTTCGGGCCTTCCTGGCAGGCATGATCCTTCGGGTGTGCGGCCGGCCCGGCGGACCCGGCGGACCCGGCGGACCCGGCGGCCCCGGCGAACCCGGCGGACCCGGCGGACCCGGCGGACCCGGCGGACCCGGCGGACTTGGCGGACCCGGCGGACCGAGCGGCGGACCTCAAGCGTATCCAGCGGACGCAGCTGACCCAACGGACCCAGCGGACCCGGCGGACCCGGCGGACCCGGCGGACCTGGCGGACCCGGCGGACCCGGCGGGCCCGGCGGACCCGGCGGCCCCGGCGGACCCGGCGGACCCGGCGGACCCGGCGGACCCGGCGGACCCGGCGGCCCCGGCGGACCCGGCGGACCCGGCGGACCCGGCGGACCCGGCGGACCCAGCGGACCCGGCGGACCCGGCGGACCCGTCGGACCCGGCGGACCCGGCGGCGGACGTCAAGCGTCTGCAACGGACGCAGCTGACCCAACGGACCCGCCGGACCCGGCGGCCCCGGCGGACCCGGCGGACCCGGCGGACCCGGCGGACCCGGCGGACCCGGCGGACCCGGCGGACCCGGCGGACC